CTGACTATAGAAAGTTTCAAATATCACCAAAATAATATTAATAAGTAAAATAAGTTAAAATGTTATAAAAACCTTTATATGACACTACAACCAACCCTGTGTGTTTTTCCTTTGCTGTAGAATAACTCTCTGGTCCACACTCCATCCTGTCTGTTTCTAATGTGTAGCCTGTACTCCAGTAGATAGGTTATCTGTGAGGGCACGGTGCTGTTTTAACCTTGGCTAGAAAGGTCGTGGCACTTTGCTGAGTGGTGGAGTCCCCTGAAAGCTCCTTCTCATATGTTGATGTACGACAGGCTTATTTTTAAGTGATGTTTTGCTCTATTGAGACTGCTGGAGCACACAGTAGGGTTGTCGTGTCAAGATGGATTTTTTTTCTTCTTCTTGACATTTCTGATGAAAAGGCTGCACTTAAAATTTGTAGCCTGAGGGACTTCCCAGTAACATGGTCTCTGACCCGGCGGCTTTAACGTTATTTTTAAATAAATACCTCACCTTCTTTTCAGTCAGTGTAGGCCTGAACAGTGATGCTGGAATTGTGAGCATGGTGTGCCATATTTAACCAAACATCTGTCCACCAGAATGCTCCAGTGACATATTCGCACAGAAATCCTCCTTCCTTCTATGATCAAAGCTTTTTTTTTTGGGGGGGGGGGGGGGGGATTATACTGTGAGTAAATGTTTCTATATTTTCACAGTATCTGTTCTGTTCTCTTATTTTCACACAATGTTCTTGATTCATCAGAACCATGAAAATACAATTTTCTACAGAAATTAACTATAATATGATAAATATATTGAAATTATATTTAAAGATTCAGCACAGTGATTATAATTAAGTCTCATATGTATTTGTAATGTGTCGGCTGTTTATTTGATTGATTTTGCCATCAGGAGGTTCATGGCCACTCATACCCATTACCTATTGTAACAAAGGGATAAAACAGTAATAGTATTATTTTAAACAAACTCATAAACATAGTGGAAATTCTGAAACACTTTAAATTATGCATTTGAATTCTATGTAAATAAAATCAGTTATTTTGATGGGAAAATAAACACCCATGGTGAAAATAATGAAACATTTTAAAATTTCCTACCTTGTAGCAAAGATGTGTTGTTGGAGTAGAGCTTTCTCTTTACCACCCTCTGTTTCAGCGGATGCTTTGCATACCAACACACACAAAAATGTTCCCTCGCTACAAGCCTTTTTTTTTTTTTTTATAGAGTTCATCTCTCTGTTGAAAAGTAAGATTTATGTTCAGTTTATGGAGAGAAAAGAGAAATTAACTGCACTGTTTTGATTTTACACACTCCTCTGTTGCTCTAGCGAGAGACCAAAGCCTCCTTTCTGCGTCATGCATGCTTGCATTGCTGTACTTTCTGAACATCATTTAAATGAAATTATTGGCACTGCACACAGTTTTTCTTCTGTTGTGTTTTGTCAGCCAATATTAAGCTTAATAGGGCTAACATAAATCATCTAGTCCTGTTTTATATTTAGAGAATGCCCTGCTAAACAAAAAGTTTAAAGTACAACACTTCTAAAGATAAATACAATGTTATCTTTAGTAAGGAAATTCATTCTTAACCTTTGGATCATTGTGTGTGACAAATAATCTCAAGTCAAAGCCCATTTTCAGAGCTTTCAGCCACATCTCACAGCCTTCATCAACGAATGGAACTGGTTCAGGTATCACAGAGACTTACAACGACAACAACAACGACCCTGAGATACATTTGAAAGCTCTGAGTCAGTTTAGTTGATATTACATTGTAGCACTGTAGTCACCATTCTGCTTGTGTCTCTCGATCTGCTTTGATCTCCAAGCACCAGGTAACGCAGGCTTGTTCATTTTCTTAAGTCGTCAAAAGCGCAACAGACTGCAATTGTGAATTTGTGAATGCAGAACTTTTGAATTGTTGGGAGCTTAGTCATACCCAAGAAATTTAATAATGCATGAATGCTGACCTTGCACATTTGTCTAAAGTAGCTTTCACACTTTCATCTGTGAAATTTTGCAGGATTCAATGGAGGCCACATTGAGTAAAAATTACTATGATTAATTTCAAGTTCTAAGTTCTTCTGACATGCTTGTTCCACAGAAAGCAGAAAGCTTTCTTTGTCTCTCTCGCTCTCTTCCTTCTCCCTGTTGTTCAGTAGAAAGGCTGCTGAATGGGATGTGAACTTGATGTTTGACTCACTGCATACTTTAAATTCTGGCTGTTGAAGTTTTAACTTTTTTAAAATCTCACATTATGCCATGTTTTTTTTTTTTTTGGACACCAATGTGCAAAAAATGCTCACCATATTGTTGCTCACGCTGTGGTGCTCACTTAGTGAAATCCATTTCTTCTTCTGCTGCTGTGCTAGTCTATCTGCTGCTGCATGCAGTGAGACTTTTACAGCTGCCATCTGCCTACAGCTGCTTTCCTGATTGCAGACAATGTACATAAAAATCTGCATTTTTTAAAGGGAAACTGAAATCTGATTTCCTTGTGCTTTGTGAAGGGAAGAGAAATCAGAGATAATAATGTTAGTGCATGGGACACAACTGAAAAAGGTGTGATATATCATCCATTTAAGTCAGGATACAGTTCAGACACAGGATGCATGCCGACGCCAGTTGTAAAGGGAACTTTGGCGAGTAGGTTCAGTTTATAGTTGGACTGAATTCACTGACAATCTTCAGTCATCATGACGTGACGGTCCTTATTACCACGTCATTGTATTTCCATTTCATTTCCTGTTGTGCTCACCCTCCCACAGCGATATTGCGTTTTAGACTGTGAAACGAGTCTGCATTATCTGGGAACAATGGAAAGATGTAGATGTAGAATTTTTTGATTCACTTCATTATTTTCCCATTGTCATGAATTCAAAATGTGCGGGAGAATATTTTAAAGGAATGTGGTTTCTATTTCCTTAATGATTGGATGACACCCAGGGTGGTCGGTTACTGTCAGATTAAATGAGGAACTCCGCCATTGGTCCTCGTCCACACAGTATAATATTAAAGATCCTACGAGAAAGAAGCCATTCTTGCTCTGTCAATTTCTGAAATTAGGAAGTCATTGTGTGTAGAGAGAAAAATGACAATGAAAAGTGCATAACTCGTTTCATGTGGGGATAATGGTCATTGACGAGGATTTCATGTTGGACTGCTGACACTTTAAATGTTTGTGAGCTACAGTTCTGACAAAGCAAGGGTAACTATAATTCACTGGCACACCGACTCTCGCCCACATTTGCTTTGCATGGTTTTGTGTCTGAAATGGTTCAAATCAGTTTCACGGTGACCCTAGCAAACTGAGGTGGCTCAAAAATCACATTTTTGTTTTCATCACCTGCTCCTTTTGTAGAGCTGCACTTCAAGAAAATGTCCAATGGAAATGATGAATGAATGAAAATGGAGTCTGCATATGTCTATATCAAAACCAAAATCAAAAATGAAAGGGCAAAAGTGTGAATGGATTAATCAAGATGTCTGTCTTGTATTTTGGGCTGACTTGCTCCCCTAACCCAGCATTATTTGCAAGGCTAAGGGCTAGCATGTCACTAGCAAAGTGCCCTGTTCACACACATACTGTACATTAAGCACACACCTGCACGTGTTCACCCCATGTCTACTTTTCAAACATCCACTACACTACCGATACTACCACAACTGCTACTAAGGTTAGCACCATCAGTCAAATTGTAAACCCTCCTCCCTCTACAGCAGTGGATTCTGCACCAGCCAACTGTGGGGAAAAAAAAAAAAGAAAAAAAGATTGCCCTCCTAAATTGGAAAGATTGATCTCGTTAGGGCAAATATCACTCTTTCCATCTCTGCGGTACACCTCCCTCGGCCCTCTTTGGATTTGTGGAATTGTTTTAGGCCAATATCACTGCACTGGAGAACTGTGTCACATGTGATACGCTCCTCTTGATATTATCCCTAAAAAAACAGTTTAGATTCAGTCAGTCCCACTCTGCTTTCCATCATGAATAGCTCTCTGGATCTGATCTTTCTTAAGATTGCTCCTATTCAGCTATTGCTGAAAAGACCTGGTCCATGGACTTAAAAGACTCCCAGCCGCTTTACAAACTGCAGAAATCCTAGACCAACTTCTACAGACGCTTAATAACAGCAATATATTTGAGAGGTTTTCAACCTGGGTTCTGCAGCTACACAGCCATGAAACAGCTCTTCTTAGAGTTACAAGTGATTTACGATGGCTGCCGACTGTTCTGTGTTACTGCTGCATGACCTCAGTGTAGCATTGGATGGCATCGACCACTCCGGCCTTTATAGACTAAAACAATGGGTGGACATGCCATCCGTCACCACAACATCTCCTTCCATAGCTATGTGGACACGGTTCTCCCCGTCATTTAAACCTCCTGACATTAGCAAAGCAGCTTTATTATAAAGCAGTTTTATACAAGTGTGGATGCCTGATAACCCTTTAGAATTGAATTCTGACAAGACAGCAGTTCAGTGTAAAGCCTCCTGGCTCCCTGCACTCATAACATAAAAGCCAGCTACAAAACATCTGGATGCTTGAACGTGGCGCAACGTGTAAGGAATGTTGGCCAGTTGCGTTTTATCAACTGAGGAATATTTCCAAAAGTGGATCAGTTCTGATGCTGAAATTTCGGACCTGCAATCCTGAACACTTTTCCTGTATAACATAAAAGATAAATACTGTTATCAACTTAAATTATTATGTTTTTCATTGAATCATAGTGGTTTTAAGCATCCATCCTGCTGTAGTGACAGCTTTGGATTTTTGTGCGACTGCATTTCCTGTGAATTTGCATAGCAGTCAGCACTTTCATATTAAATCATACATTTAATATTGACTGAAGGACACCTGTAGTATATAGTATGATGATATTAGTTTTGGAAATTTTATATACTCAAGTCATGTTACAGTTATTAAGGCTGTGTACAGTCAGTGTCAGTTTTGGTGTGGACACAAAAACATGTTGTTTTTTTTTGTCTATTTTCCAGGTGAACATCTTCGTGTATGCCCTCAAGGAAACACATGTTGCACCCAGGAAATGGAGGACAAATTTGGTCAACAGAGTAAACAGGACTTTGAGAATCTCGTTGATGAAATGAGTCATGAGTTGAGAAGCACCTTTGTTTCCAGACATCAGAGATTCGATGGTAAGTCTTAAGTCTCTCTTTTTTTAACTTAATGCTTTATTAATGTTCCTCTTTTGTTTCCTTTTCTTTATTTTATTGTTTTTAATGGTCAGTCACAGCAGAACAAATTGCTACAAAAGGTAAAATCAAAGGATTGAGACTGCATGTGTTAATTTGAAAGGATTCACTGTTTATACATTTGTAGCTGTCCGCCCTCAAGAGGAGATGAGATGTGAAAATCTCATTAATATGCCTTGGAGTGGAGAAGCCTCTTGTTGGATTAGACAAACATGGCTTCTTGCACAGCAGATTGACAGCTTGAACAGCAGTACAGAGCCAAACTCTGCATTATTAAGGTTGTTTGGTGGTCCTGTGCTGTGTGTGATCTTGTCCTCGCCCCACGGTGACTGTCTTGACCACCACACATCCACTGAGCTTCTGCTATGGGAGTTGATGTACTCATTACTGAACCGAGCTCTCTCTTCACCTCTCCATCTCTCCCTCTTGGTATCCTTTCTCTGTGGAGTCAGCTCCTTGTAGTTACAGTTTAATGAGAAATAATAATCCCTCTAGCTCTCAAGATTAGACTGTGTGGGGAGCAGCAGCTTATCAGTGTGGACAATGGTGAAGGGTGGTGGAGGTGAAAATTGTCAAGAACAGCCACCTGTCAGCATTGTCAAACAGTTTATTAGGAATGCAGGATAAAAGCCTGTAATGAGTTATTACTCAGAAACCTTTTAAACATGACCATGTTTGAATTCTCTTTGTCTCAAAGTGAATGGCAGGACAAAACTGAAGGAAAATACACCATAATGTTTCCTTTTTAAATAAATTATTTTTAATCTTTTTAGGCTTACTGTAGATTACTAATGAAACACAATACAAATAAGACAGTACCCATTATTGTTACTGCTATTTAATCCTTGGCATATACCGAGTTTTCTAATTTCAGGGAGTAATGATGAAGAAATAGTAAAGCTGTCTGTAACCATCAAACTTCGGCAACCTCTACTGAAATAGTGGGTAATGCATCAGTGCCAGCATGAGCAAAGTTATTTATTAATGCACTCTCCAGAACAGTGACAGAGTTTCTTATAGGAGAAAGAAAAGAGAAATTTAGAAACCACAAAATATAAAGTTCTAAAATCTAGAAAAGCTGAAGGAAACAAGAGAGTTAAAGCTTTTTTAAAAGTGTGCTGAGACTTTTGCTGAAGAGCAGCAACTGAAAAGAAACCAAACAGAATCACTGTAATAAAAGAGATAGTGTATGCCCAACATGCTGCCACCTACAAGTACTGTAGCATTGCGGCTGATACAAGTTTACATTTGATAAAAAAAAAAAAAAAGATGAAACTAATTTATTCTACTGTATATTGATCTCATTCAGTATGATCGTCGCCTGTGACATGGTATGCATTTAAAGTAGCACAAATCAAGCTTCCTGTTTTCCTATAGGAACACATGCACAAAAACAACACAAATCCAAGTTAATTTTGAGCGTTATTAGCGAATCAAACGTCTTCCAACTGCACTTTTGCTGCCATTTCTCTGCTCTTTGCCATAAATCTCTTTGCCTGCTTGTCATCTATGGAACTGAAATTGCAAAACAACAATCTCTGAAAATGGAGGAGTCTAGGGGCGATGAATCTTCTTCAATTGTCTCTGAATTCGAAATTGGTATCGAGTAGCAATTGCACTTCCAGTGCAGAGCTGAGACGACCGAACTGATGGTACTCGACAGCTGCTTGGGTTCAGGGCTATCACGAGTGCACAAACAACAGAAGGTAATCAGTCTACAAAATACAAAAGTGACAATATTGACATTATACAACACAACTAAGATATTATAACAGATGTCTAACTAAAGTAAAAGGTCACCCTGGTTTTTCTTTTTCTTTTTTCATTCTTGAATGGTTGTGGTTCAGAAGTATTAGCAAATCTCAGTATCTTTCATTTCATGTCCTTATATTTGGATAAGGGTTTATCATCCACTACAGTATATCTCCTATAATCTCAGCCCATTTATAATTTATTATTTTTCCGAGATCTAACGTAGGTTACCAACATTGATAATGATGCACATTAAGATGGGTCGATGGCTTGGCCTGAGTCTGATCTATCAGCACCTTTTACACCTTTTCACCATTAAGCACTTGTTTGATCTGTTTACATCGTGTAAACGGATATATAAATAACATAAAACATAATATGTCAGCATGAATATAATCTCTCCGCTTGGATCTCAGGATTGAACAGCAACACTCCCGATGATTCAGTTTATCCAAAAGTAATTCTAATCTTTGTCCAAAAGTAGGAGGTCAAAGCATAGATTTTCACATTGGGCTATCTAAATATATCCTCTGTTACAACTAAATAATGTTTGAGTGATTAATAGCGCAATATAATACCCGGCAGTCAATGTCTTGTCTTTCTGTGCTTATTCTTTTCAAACTGTTCAACATATTATATGAAACAAATGCTATTGAGTTACAGTATGCAACTCTCAGATGATTGCACATTGCCCAGAAACTCAATGTCACAATGCCTTGGTGATGTCTGTCTGATTTTTCCAGGAATATACACTTCTTTAGCCTGCATGTGATTCCTGGAAGCATGCATAAATAAATGAGTGTTATTTTGATCAGCCGCTGTCAGGATAGTGAATGTCATAAGGAGGGCTCCAGTGAGGGAGGAAATGAGGTTTGTCCAGCAGCACTTAGATGCATGACTCCAGGCGCCCCTCTTCCTCTTGGGGTTTGCTGCCACTCTCCATAATTTCATCAAAGCAGATGCTATATGCAGGTTTCAGCTCCACAGACCCTCTGCTGTCTGGAGACTGTGTGTCTGCTGAGGGTGTTGACTGACCACCCGCTCGGGAAATATGCGGTATTGATTGCAAGATTTAAATTTCACCCCTTATCTTTATTTTGTCGTTAATTGACTCTGAGTGTTTGAAGTCGTGCGGTTGCTTAGTTTTGAGCAGGAGATGTCCGATGAGATTTAACAAACCACTGTGTCTGGAAAAAATTCTGAGTGAAATCTTAAATACATTTTAGTATTTCAGGTATTATTTATTTAGGAATCTGCATTTTTTTTTTTCGTTTTGACTCCATGTCCCTTTTTACCAAAATAATTGTGTTGGCCTTGCTACTGAGCCAGAAACCATAGCTAAAGATCCAAACAATACAGTGCTGTTAGTTCATTTAGATGCTCTTCACCGTCTATTTAGCACCTGGCTCTGTAGTCCCACCTACACAGAGTCAGTGTATGTGTATATTTTCTTCTCTTTATGCAGAGTTTGTGATGAGTGTTACTGTAGCTGACAGTAGCTGGCCAGCCCACGCATACCTGACACCACAGCCTATGTGTCACAGTGAGAGGGCACAGTCTCAACTATGCCAAGACCATCTGAGCAGAAATACAGGAATATCCACAACAACCCAGTTACAGAGTACAGCTGTATGAATCTAAGAGAGAAAAAACATCATCTGAAAAAATCAATGGCAAATATGGTGCCACATTTGCTGCAATCAAATGTGCAAATTTATATATCAAATAGCATGTCTGAATATTCCCATCATAACAGCACAGACAATGACTTTTCATAGAAATTAGACAACACAATAGCTGGCACAGAGAATTCTTTTCTATCTTGCTTATTAAAGACTAAATCAGGGGTCTTAATTGCTAATCAATTGCTGGCCCTTCTGACCGTGAACACCATGGTGCTGGGTAGCCATACAGAATATTAATGTAGTCCACCCTCAACAATTGATCTTTATTTGCACTGCTGGAAGGTTGATGAATATCTTTTTTATACACTTAAACAAGAATATAAAAAGCGAATTCTCTCCTCCCTCAGCAGCCATTGTCGAGGTGCCCTTGAGCAGAGCGTTTAACCTAGAATTACCCCAAAGAAGCTGCCAACCATAGAAGACCGTACCGTGCTGGCCAGCTACCAGGTGTGGATATGTTGTGTAGATGAATGTGAAGCTGGGCAGCACTGAAAAGGGCATGCTTGTTCAGCGAAACCATTCTTTAGTTAAGAAGTCCTATCAAACCATCCAGTGAGAGTGTGTAGGATGCAGGTAGAAATTCCACAGTGCGCATCTCTGTATACTCTAGAGACTGTAGCAATCCTTCTCAGCAGGGTTTCTGATGGACAAGCTCTGATGTTTTTGGAAATACCGGAGAGTTCCCTCTAAATTTTTCAAACTCTGTCTTTTGTTTAAGATACTTCACAGGACTCTGTGTTAGAGGGCAGAATGTCAAATCCCAGTTAACACTCACAGCATAAACCACCACTCTAAGCATTCCTGTTTTATCCTCATGGTAAAGATGTGGGAGGATATGATAACTTTCAAATATGAGGAAATAGAATCTAATGAGATTAGATTAGACTAGATTAGATTACCGTATTTAATCAATTAGTGGCCATGGCCTTTGTTTACGTCAACTGCGGACGCTAACAGGCCCTTATTCGAGGCCGGCTGTAATTGAAACTAGCCCTTTATTTCTAATTCACTCTATTTTTATAATTGGTGATAATTTGGTAAGAGGCCTCATGCTGATGTGCTCCTGTTTGCCCTGTTAAAGTTGCTACATTAAGATGTTTATACAAACTCAACACTTCCCATAATCATTTCAAATTAAAAGCCCTCTAGTGTTTCGTTGGAGAGAAACCATTTCTTAACAGGGCTTTTACTGTGAAACGGCCGGACGGGACTGAAGGACAGCAAAGCAAAGTGGACCAGAATGAATGAATGAAATACTTTCGATGAGTAATTCAGAACAACAAAGTGTTGAAAATAAAATCATATTGTTGAATTTATTAAATTAAAGTGGTAGAAATGTACATTATGCACATTATATGACAGGTACCAGGAGTTTATCCTGCCTTGTTTGTTCCCTGGCCTGTATTTCGAGGTGGGCCTTTATTTATTCATGTCGACCACGTTATTGGAGACTTTTAATTGACTACCGCAATTTATAATAGAAATAGTAGATAACATTACGTTAGAAATATATCTGTATATATCTGGACTCACCAACAAACCAGTCACTTTTTTATTTTAGCAGCTGTGATTTTACATTGAAAGCCTATGTTTTTAACGGTCACTGTGTGACACAATAGGCAAGTCACAGGAATTAACGCAAGAAAACGGAGACATAAAAGGTCAGCATCTCATGTACTCTACGGCTGCAGAACACTCAAAGCAGCCCTCCATTGACTAGCACTGGTCTGATGATTGACACGTGGAATTCAAAGTGCTCCATTTGGCAACAAAATTGCCAGTTTCATGTGTGGACATGAGACCTCAAAGAGGCTGCAAACCTGCCTGTGCACTGTATATTATGCAGTTTCAATAGTCACAAAGTGAGAGATGGGCTCCCTCTTTGATTGGCTGTAGTCCTGCAGGAGAAGACATTGACTGCTGAAGACAAGAGGCTGTTTGCTCTGCTGCATTATGTCCAACAAATCATGTCATATTTGCAGTTTACACAGGGTAGCTTCCCTAATGGATTACACATAGATCTGACAGTGTGTTGCCTCGGAGGTGTTTGTACAAAGGAGACATCTGAGAAATATTCCAAAAAAATATATATATATTATATGGAAATCATTAGCCTTCTTTGAGTGTTTTTGGCTCTTTAATACCTTTCATCAGTGTGTGGCCTTGCAATCACATGCTGCACTTCAAGACATATATTGTGAAATTGTAGAATTGATTAGTTAGAATTAATACATATTCAACCAGTTCCGTGCAACTGTGAGCAGTTCATTTCAGAATGTGTTCAAATTGGAAGAGTGCTTACAAATTTTTCCAATAGTTGTGGGTTTTCTGCATAAAACAATCCAATTCAGTGCCAATTTTTCAACCCATGGTAAAACAAATTCCATTCCGGACCTCATCAGTCCAACTCCTGTGTCTGTGTCCTCAACTTCATTGCAAATTTTTTATTTAACACAAAATGAATAAAACGTATCAAATTGCATCACATTTTTTTTTATCAATATAACCACTAAAAATTTATTAAATTCTTCTTGAAATTACCACAAAAATCTCACAAAAAGTCAAGAGTGAGCAGTTAGGGTTTTACTGAGGCCCCAGTTTTGGCAAATAAAGATGAACAAGAGACCACATCAAGTTTACTCAATAGTCTTTATTGTCTTCAAAAATCTCTGGTGTGGTCTGAAATGAGAAGCACACAACTTGCCTTTTTTCATCATCTAGCCCAAAGATTTAAAGTAGGAGCAGTTGGTTTAAAGATTGCTAAAATAGAGATAACTGACACAACTCTGACATATAGGAGAGCATCCATCAGTAGGTTTCTGTGAGAGCAAGCAGCTGTGGAAGCGCGGAGACGCAGGCTTTTCTCCTCATCACGGAGAGAATGACTCTGCGTAACCCTCTGCACAGCACTGTATGGAAGGTGAGGAATTGGAGCCAAACTGAGCTTTATCAGCGAAATGTAATGAACTCTCTGCAAGTTGGGTGTATTAGAATCAACCCCTGTCCGGCATTTCAGCACCGTTATCCTCCGTTTGCAGCTCTTGCAGCCTTTCATTTAGAGAGACGTCTTAATTACTACGTGGTGTTAAGGATTTATGTAAGCTTTCCTGTTCATTTTTAGCCTCTGACATTTCACTAAATTTGCTATTGTAGAATATGATCCCTCTCATGAATTTTCACTAATAAGATTAAGATGGCTTTTTAACAATATATTGTAGTCACTGAATTATACTGAGACCATCCATATTGTAATTATTAAATGTAATCACTCCAAAACAGACTTCAAAATTATATCAACCATACTGTCCACATTAACAATACATTTTGCCTTAATTACATTGGTTATATCCAATTAATATCTCAGCTGACAGCTTTGACTACACTGGAGTTTTTTTTTTCTTTCTAAAATGCACCTTTTTAAATGAAATTAGTTTTGAAGCTGTCATTAATCAGTGTGCATATCGCTCAGCACCACTGACTATTCTCATTACCAAAAATTAGTCGCTGAAGCACAAATCATGCTCGGAGCTTTGCATATTTAAATAACTGCTCATTGTAGTTTTTCATTCACTATATAGTCTAGAGAATAATCGAAATAAACATACCTTGGCCAGCACCACAAGTCCTGCATACTGTAGGTACTAATGGGGGAAAAAAAAGCATGAAAGTAATTTTAATATTCTGCCGGCATATTTTTCCTATTTTACTATCTTTTTGGTGTGCAACATATGACTAATAAGATGTGATTTGGTGTGGTGTCATGGACAGTCATGGCATTTTGTCTCTCTGCTTCTGTAATCTGTAATTTCACCTGCATTGCTGAGCACTAATGACCACTTCAAATCCATTACAGTTTTGTCAAGGCCATTCTGATAAGTGCATGTAATGTGCATGGCTCAGTGGTGCCAGATGAATCTCTCTCAGTAGATATGTGTTTAGAGTATGTCATGTGACCCAGGTACCATGAACTGCTTTACAGCTGCTTTACAGATGGTCAGTCTAACAGCTGTAGTAATTATGACGGGCTCAAAGGAGGAAATCAGGTGAAGAGTGACAAAGTCAACTGAGTTTGGGATGGATGGATGGATGGATGGATGTGTGGATCCATCTATCTATCCATCCATCCATCCATCCATATATATGTTAAATGTAGGAATTATTGTAACCATGACAACAAATCTTAAGGTAAAGAAGCACTTATTTTAAGCCCAACCACAGTTAATTTTTTTCTGCTTAACCAAGTAGTTTTTGTGCTTAAACTTGACCAAACCATGACCATTCCGCAACCTTAACCATTATTACTGTTCCCATGTCAACAAACGTCAGGTACACCCACCAGTGTCGCTCCTATGGGTCGAATGCAGGGATGGGGACAAACCACCTACTGTATATGGTCATTTAGGTTGGAGGAATAGTTGTTCAGGGATGTACAAAGGTTGCAATTACTGTAAAATGCACTTTCTTTTAGTATTCAACCTCTGCATAGTCTAAATAGTCCAGCACTGTGATAACCAAGAAAAAACACACATGAGTGACAGGGTTCGTGGTGTTAATAACTGACATGCTGTTACAATGGCCACCCACGCAGCTCATTATTTTTAATTATCCCTACCTTTTTAATGTTTTACTGCTGGCCTTGTCCACACAGTTGCTCCTCTTTCCGCTAGCCCATACCACTGAGAAACTAGAGACTTTAAAGCTGCACTAATCAATATGTTTTTATTAACAATGAAGTAACTGACTGTGTAAGGTGAAAGGTGACTAATCAACAGAGAATTATCTAAAAGAACCAGATTTACCGCCAGGACTTTGCATAAACCTAAACAGAACTAAATGGAGAGTGAATATTGGACTATTGGCTCCAAAGAAATCTGTCTAGTGGATGTCAAATGTTCGCCATATCAACTGTATGAGATAATAATATATGAATATCCTGTTTACAGGTCTTTCCACTCAGGTGGCCAAAAAAATCAGTTAATCCTGCTGTAAAGCCTTGGTTTGGGCATATAAAATGCAATAATTTAGGAAAATAAAAGACTTTCTATAATCTCCACTATCCTTTATAGGAATTGGAGTCTCCTCTGACTAGTCTTCAGTTATTTCATTTTGCAGTTTTGAAGCCTATTTAAATTTTAATCCTGGCCCTTGAAAGTCAGCGCTATCATTGTGAATAGCAGATGGTCAGAAATGTTATCATCTCATCTCAGTTTCTGGTGAGTCGTAGAAGTCGTGAGGCAAACAACAAGGTGCCTAAAAGGAGTATGCAGAGGGGCTGCAAACCCCACAGACAAACTTTATTGTGGAATCATCATAATATAGAAGGATAATTTATTACACTTCATCTGACAGCCTTATGCTTCCAGCATATGGAGCAATACTCCAGTTAGAATCTGTATATAGGAAATCATTCACCAATATATATCAAGGTACATGAATGTATTTGGGGTTTAAAGGTAAAATATGGACAATACAGACCTCATGCACTGCAAACACAGAACTTATTGCTTTCCAGAAATATATGAGGAAGACTCCTATTGCAATGTCAAAAGTAGTTTACTGCAGATAAAAATCGACAAAGCTGTGAAGTCTCTTCAAAATGGAATCAACATCAAACGCCCTAACTGATTTGCTATTTTTGTATATTGTGATTGTTGGCGCATTTGTTGTTTGAATTGCAATCAGGCACACTCGCTTTAATGCAGCATTCTCTCTTGCAATCAGACACATTTAATGTAATTTTGCTGTGTTTCTATTTTAATCACAAATGTAAAGAGGGCTCCCACTGCATCTTATCAAGGCATATCTATATATGCCATGTACAGAATTGTTTAGATATCATTTATGAAAGAAAACCACACAATCAGTAACACCTTTTCATTTCTTCTCAACCCAGAATTCTTCCTGGAGCTGCTGGAGAACACAGAGAGGTCTCTGAATGAGATGTTTGTGAGGACTTACGGCAAGCCTTACATGCAGAACTCGGAAGTCTTTGAGAATCTGTTTGCCGAGCTGAAGCGCTATTACACAGGAGGGAATGTTAACCTGGAGGAAATGCTTAATGACTTTTGGTCGCGGCTACTGGAGCGCATGTTCACGCTGCTCAACTCCCAGTACGTCATCACTGAGGACTATCTGGAGTGTATCAGTAAGTACACCGACCAACTCAAGCCCTTTGGAGACGTGCCCAGGAAGCTCAAGGCTCAGGTTACCCGGGCATTCATCGCTGCACGCACATTCGTCCAAGGGCTCTCTGTTGGCCGGGAGGTGGCCCAGAGAGTGTCTAAGGTAAAAGTTCAAATTTAACTGCATTATAAAACACCCAATCAACTGCTTATTTCTGACCGTTGCAAACCCGCAACAATAATTTGATTTCACTTGCGGATTCTGATGGAAAATATTCAGTATTTGACCTCGGCTAAAATTAAGACTTGCTCTGTATCCTACATATATTTTAACAGGCCCAAGGTCTTGGTGTTTCTGCAGTGAACACATTTCCCCCTGGTTTTTCACTCGAACAAGTTCCTGCCAGATACTTTTCTGACTAATGTGGGCTCTCTTGCTGCATGTCTTCAGGAAGTTTGGGCTCAAGGCGGCTTGTTCAGGTGCTGTCTTGAAAAAGGTGTTGAAGGGTATGTGGATTGCTCAGGAGAAATTCCCAGACAGTGAAAAAGGAGAAGAATGAAATTTCTGCCATCACTGTTTATTGCTCTCTTGCCTAATATTTGTTCACCCAGTATATAGAAGCCATTAATCATGGTGTAGCCTTAGTATTATGTTTGATGCGATGTAATCTTAATACAGCTTCTGCAGGATATCATACTGTTCTGGGAGTGGGTGTAGTTTTGATCATGTACAAAGTAAGATAAAAAAAAAAGCAAAAGGCTAAGGCTTGGATTTTATTCGCACTCAACAACAGGACTGTTTCTGCAAGCCTTCTAGTGAGCTGAGAGAAACCCTGATAAGCACTACACTGCAAATCCCCAGCCACCCTGGTTTTCTTTTCACTACTATATTGATATCAGTTGGATTGGATAATCAACACTATTATAAATATTCATGCCACTGCTGTAAAGTATAGACGCAGAAGCCAATGAAAATATAGTAACCCTCAATCATCAGAGACAAAGCGCTAAGGTGTTAGTCCCAGTGCACTTGTTGAACTTTAAACACGTCGCTGTCACAGCCTGTATCAGCTCCCCCCTCACCAGTAGTAGTCGTGAGGCTCATTTAGAAGCAGCCGCAGAGGATGTGTTGTTAGTATGCGTTTACTGAGTTACACCCTGCGTTTATTACAAGCAGGCATGTCCCAGCTTCACCCCTTGACATTTCAGTGGGACCTGAGATCCAGGTCATGTGTCTGGGACTGCAGCCCTTTGATCCCCAGGGTATAAACTCATCATGAGGGATTGGGTGTAAGCATAATGGAATAAGACACCCTGCTAGAGGTGTCTGTTGCACAGTGTCTCTAAGATGTGACATCCATGCTTATTGCTACCGGGATATATATTGAATTAAAGTAGATGATGTAGTACTTTATTTCTTTTCACGGCTTAAGAGACAAAACACAAAACCCAGCAGAGCTTTGAGGAAGCAGAAACTCGTGTTTGGAGTCTGCGTCTCACAAACAAAGCTCAAACTTATTCCAGATCATTACCCAAACAGTACATCTGCCTCTGTTTATCTGAAGTGATTAAAGTCTTCTAATTATTTGTCTGGTTGTTGATTCTTAGAACATTTAAATTCTCATATGGGCAGCAAAAAAAGAAGAACACATTTATTAATCGGAGTGCACTCACTATAGCAAGATGACACGGTATCTGATACATGCAAAGGTGTAGATGTGTTTTATACAAATTAATGCAAAAAAAAAATCCATGCGCTCACTTGCTGCTGCTGTTTATTAGTATTTGGAAGTTATTGGAGTGTGGAGATTTGACATGATAAAATATCATTAATATTATCTCACACTTTGAAATGCCACTATATTACTAATTAATAAGATGATTCATGATGAAGGACAAGGGTTTTTTCAAATTAAATGAATAAGGAACTATTACTTTTACTATTCATGCAGCATGGCTTATGTTTTTTAATCTTTTTGTTTAAGGTGGGATTTTGTAATTGTCATCTCATTCTTATAGGAACAACTTGCTTTACAACATTGTTAGTATTCACTTTGATAACTAGAGATGTGGCAGTGCAGATGAAGATCTCGGATTTTGCTATGATTTCATTATAATCTTCATGATCCGTGACCAGCTACTTGTGTGACACATGGTGCTTTACCACAGTATATTTGGCTGTAGCTAAATCATACTCATCTAGGCAGCACAGATAATACTGCAGATGGCATAGTCACATGTCATGTCTACAGAGGAGCTGTACAACAACTAAAGCCTGATTAAATAACATGTTCTGAGTAATTAAGAGCTAATTATCAACTGAATTAGTTGTTGCCTAGCAACAATACCACAACAATCTTGTTGTTTTGCCTGTGTGCATACAGTTACAATCTAATTTATTCAACCCTGCTGAGTATATAAGGGTTTATATAACAGAGGTTTCCTGATGATATTTTTATAAATGACACTCATGAGTTGAGTGGTATAATTATATTGATAATGAAAATATGGAACTTGATCGCTCAGGGTAGCAGGGCTTTTTGTAACATAGCCATGACATAATTATTAAACCCCTATCTAAAGTGTAATGTCCAATGTTGATGTTTTTTAATCATTTGCTAGTATGTAAAGCCATCAAATTATTGCAGAAGACAATTAAGCTTTTGGGAAAGGTACGATGGCTCTGAATTTGCTTCAACTGTGATATGGATATAAATCCTGTCTATGCAGCCAAGCTGAGTAACAAACCTAGCAAAGATAAAGGACCCGTCTCAGAAGCAAAGAGAAGAAATTCCTTCATTACTCCAAAAAGTCAGTGATTACAGGAAGATTTCCAAGACACTTCAAGTTCCAAGAGACATGGTTGGCAGAATCATACACAAGTTTAAACCTCATGGTACAGCAGCAAATCTTCCTGGGCGTGGAAGAAAGAGCAAAATTTTTCAAGGGAGAATCAGACAGTTGAAAACAACAGCTAAGAAAAAAAGTCCAATTACTGCCAACGACTTGCACGAGGACCTGATGAAGGCAGGAACAGAAGTATCTGTCAGTATCAGACTATATGGAGAACACTAAACAAGCAAGTACTTCAAGCCCAGAAACCTTGTCTCATTCCATACTTGACCAAAAAGCACATAAAAACTTGACTTGAATGTGGAAGAAAAAATGTGGATTGGCCCGTCGAGTTATAGGAGTCTTTTTTTTAATGGAGTGATGAGACTAAACTGGAACTGTTTGGAGCCATGGATCAGTAGTATGTGTTAACCCCAAAGCTATGTGACCTGTTGCTGGGGTGTTTTGCTGCTGCAGCAACTGGTTAACTTGACCATGTCACCAGCATCAAGAAGAATGTGGTGCCCTCAGTCCTTAAATTGAAGCTGATATATAGTTAGTGGCCAAAATTTAGTTTAGGAATTGTTTCTGGAATGTCCTTAGTTGGCCATCTTAGTCACTTGAAAATCTTTGGTGGTATTTAAAGAAAGCAGTGGCAGCATGGAAAAATTAGTGAGCTGGTGAAAGCTTTTGCACATGAAGACTGTGCTAAAATACTAAAAGAGAGGTGTCAGAAGTTTGTGAGAAACTCTCCAAGACATGTATTGGAGGTCATGAAGGTCAAAGGATGCTCAACAAAATATTATAATAAGAGTAATTATGATGCTAATGGGCCTTTTTAGAGAAAATTGGAGACTGTCCTGCAAAAAAAAAAAAAAACAAGCCCACAGTTCATCTGTACCAGTCCTGTATTATGACCCACAGTTATTGTTTTATTGTTAGTTGACCCCGAGCTAGATGGGAGCAGAGAAGCAAGTCTTGTAACATAGAGTGAGAAAAGTCCACATTAGGTTAGGAGGCGATATTGGGGTGGATGCACGGGTTGACAAAACACAGGATTTTCACACAGGAGACCCCAGTTTGTCTCCCATGTGAAACAGATAGTTGATGTTGTTTGTTTGTAACCATGACCTCTATGATTGTAACCATGACGATGAAGGTCCTCTACCCTTAAGGAAGTACTTTTTTTTTTTTTTTAACCCAAACCACAACCAGTTTTCCTAAACATTAAACACGTAGTTTTTGTGCTTAAACCTAACCAAACCATGATTGATCCACGACCATATCTACACATTTATTAATGTAACCATGACGACAAAGGTCTGGTAAGCCTGCTGCTGGTACGCTCTTATGTGTCGTGTTCGAGAGTAGGGACAAAACGACTATCACGGCGTTAAAGTTGGAGAACTTGTTGGAAAATGTAATTTATCTTTTGCACCATTAGTAAGATCAACATTAGGTTCTCAAAAATCACTCAAAAATGCATTATTAAAGTATCTTTGACAGTTTAACTTCGTTGATATGTTTTCATTAAATTTTCATAACATCACAAAAATGTATTGCAGGTCAAGGGGGATGAATCACTTTGATCGAAACTATGATACAGGTTTCCTCTTGAAGACTGAGAAATTAATTTCCTCACCCTGCAGTTACAGTCAGCTTTCATTTTGATACTCAACTCCTTAAGTGTATCATGTCTTTTGCATTTTCATACAAGAAACTATGCCTATGTCGTTTTGTGTCCAGCTTGCCGTGCATTCACACAAATTAGATGGCAATAAAATGTGGTAGGAATTTCTCCTCTTCACAGTCTTTTACATTACATTACTTTAGCACATGCATTAGTCCAAAGAAACTTACAATAAGTGAATCCATCCACTATAGAATAACAACATAGAGCTATATGCCATCAAGAATCCTCAGTACTGCAGTATTAGTGCTAAGAATGTTATTTATATTTTTTAAGGAAGTGAGACATTAATAAGTGCTTCCATGGCACATCGGGGTGTAGTATTAAAAGGCAGATTTTGAGCATGAAAGATGTTTAATAAGACGCTTGTTGGTGCTTGATGGAACACAGGAAAAAAATCCATTAGCTGTGACCCAGGAGCTTTCATTTCAAACATCTTGACAGGGCTTCAGAGTGTAAGCATTTCAGTGCAGAGAGTAAGAATGTTGAGTGCTGCATGCTCTTCAAAAATCATGTAATAAAATCAGTTTTAGTAGGTCATGCAGTCAGGCTTGTATTTGCTATCTCAAATGCCACCATACTAGCTTACACAAGGCAAAACATTGATAAGATTTTGCACTTTGGATATAATACAGCAGAACAGCTGATCCAGCCAGTGGTCAGCTTTGTCCAGTAGTTTGTTCTGTGGGTATTTCTTCACCATCACAATTCCTCCAGAATGAGACATAAAAAAAATTCTCTATAGCTTGTGCAAATCCCAGCTGTTCACCAAAGTGACCCACAGTCTGTTCAAGTCACACCAGTCAAGTCAAGTCAGTTTTATTTTTCAATAAATAGGCTAAAAAAAATGTCTAAAAGACATACAACACTTGCTCATCCACCAAAACCTTGAGCTTTTTCAAAAAAAAAGAAAAAGAACCTGAATGAACTGGATGCTTGTAATTAGCACCCTTCATTTAATTTGCCACAGTGTCGAATTAAGCTGTGTAATTCTAATTTGTCTTCTCCCTAAAAAGGCAAAAGTATATCTACATCTGCACATCCTACTTACGGTTATTAGTCTGCCTGGAAAACATTTGAAAAGTGTTCCATGTTCTGCACATTGTGAAGTGGGGATATAGCTTTTTGGATTAAGAAAACAACACTGAAGCACTCAATTAATACTGCAGTTGATTGTTGAACTTCATAATTATGCACTTTAATTGTTTTTCACCCTCTTCAAATGCACGATGAATCTAATTGTGGCTAATGGATCAATTTAACTTCCACCCACTAAGATAATCTTCAAATGTTTCTGACCAAAAACCAAATGAATATGCCTCCAGTTGTATTTATGACTTGTTAACTGAGATACTGTAGTAAGATAGATCTGTTGAAGGAGCTCTTAAGTGAGACATCTGTGGTAATATTGATCATACTGTATGTTCAGAAAGACATAAGTTTAAGTATTTTACTAAATCATTTTGTGTAACAGTGCATTTATACTTTTAAACATATTCTTGAAATATTTAAATAATCCTCTTTTAAAGGTGCTTTGAATGTCTGATTGATGTTTTAGACAAACAAAAAAAAAAAAAAACAAGTTCATGCTCTATTTAAAAGGTGTGAGATCTCAGTGGTCAGGAAATTTAAAGCAAAAGCTGGTTTGAGGGAGACGTGAACAGAGCTTCAGTCACTACAACACAATAATATATTTCAGTGTGTAGTTGTGTTGTACTTTTTAAGGCCTATTGTCTGCAATTGTTAGCCTATTGCTTATGTACACTTTCTGCCTGACAAGCCAAAATAGTGGCTAATTTAAAGTGAGGTGCATATTATGATGATTTACCAAATGTCTTTGCTGTGGAGTGATTATCTGTAAAAAACACACTTATATATATATATTATGTTTGTTTATAACTTGATGACTAATGAGGCCTTACCACCATCTTCAAACTCCACCTGTCACACAATAACATCATATCCTTTTTGTTTGTGAAATCAGGGAAATGACAAATACAGAAAGAGGAGTAACTCAGAAAAAACGCTTGACAGCCAACTGTGGCTGAGGAGTAGGCAAATGAATATTTGTTTTTATTTAATTTTGCCCTTTAAATGCAGGGCAAATGATCTGGTAATGATCACACACTTGTTGTGATTGACAGTCATTGCATGTGATAAAAGTTTTTGAACTCTCTCGTTTCGGCTCTTGTGACATTTCTGAATGTGCTTTTTGCACTTTTTTGATGAAGGGTTTTTACAAAATAATACATTGAGTATAGTATTCTGATAAAACTCAACTGTGGTGCGTTCAGGCAAGGCAAAATAATTTGAATAGAAGAGAAAATGAAAAACAGTGAATTCAAATCTTCCATGTAACTGTTGACAAGTGACAGAATATGAATAAAATGATCATGGATTTCATAGGGCCTGTCCAGATGCTAATTCACACTCTGTGTCCCTGCAGGTAAGCAGCACTCCAGCATGCATGCGAGCGCTGACAAAGATGCTGTACTGCCCTTTTTGTCAGGGCATGCCAGCAGTTAAACCCTGTAAGAACTACTGCCTGAATGTCATGAAGGGCTGCCTGGCCAATCAAGCTGACCTGGATCCAGAGTGGAACCAGTACATTGGTAAGTCCTTTTTAGATGTTTTTTTTATCTATATGTGTATGTCTGGGTGTTTACCTCTAATGGATGTCATAAGCAAGGAAAGTCACATATAAGCACTTGCAATGACAGGTATAGAGTCAGTTTTCACCTCCAGCATTCCCTTATCTACTGCTTTACGCTTTTATGCGTTTTTGCTGCAGACTGGGGCGTTTGGTGAGATCAGCAATAGCTGCAAGACGTTTACACCAGATGGAGTAACTGGACACAAATATTTGTAGTTCATACCTTTTTTTTTTTTTCTTCTTTCTTTCTTTTTTTGCTCATTAGAGAGTAAACACCTTAGTGTTGAAACACTAAACACAATGGTTTGGGCACTTTGAGGCTAATGTTTTATGGAAGTAAAGACAGGCCATAATCATTTGAATATATCAGGAATTCATGACTTAATAAATAATCTGTCTGAATTCATTTGGTTTGACTGAAGTTAAATTTCACAATTAGTTATCGAATTGTTTATATGATTCAAATTATAATGGTCCTTCTGTGTTTCCATGGTATTTGGTGTCTCTTTTGGCCCTATGTAAGCTGAATGTATGTAACTATTACATAAATAATGTATGTAACTAACTAACAAAATGTAAACTTTTTAAGTATGCAGGATTACACAAATCAGTGTGTCATGTTTGACTTTCTATTTTAAGAGCAGTTACAGCTAGGGCTGTGTTGTTGTCATAGTCTGACAACATCAGTTTCATTGACACATGTTGGGCCCTCAGATAAAAAAAAAGGTGTTTTATTTGTTGTTCTTCCATCAATATTTTCCTGCATGAAAAGGTTTTATTCATGGGATTCTGCTCTCCTGCTGGGCTAAATGGGGACTTGTAATAGGGCAGAAGTGCACCGCGGGGAGTGTCAAGTTTTGTGAAGGGAAGTTCAATGGGAACTTGTTCAGCTCAGAGACAAAGAATACAAACATGAATGTAATATTTATATATTTATGTAATGTTTCATAGAATGCGTTACACAGATGATTCCTGCTGTCAGTTAGATAGGCTCATCGTGTAGGACTGAACTAGAGCAGTGACAGTGAAAATGTGACTGGGCTGCTGTGACAAATAGAAGAAGGAGCTCTAGTTGTTTCTGACAAAAAAAAAGCATTTTGTTGCATTTATATTTCAAAATGCCTTTTTTCCCTTCCTGTAACACATTGAAATATCTCTATATTTATATAATATTTCTTTCTAGGCACATTTAGATGTATTCACAAATTTATCCAGTCAAATGTGTTCTTTATCATGGGACTGCATTTAAATACCACGCCACTTTCAGGGACATCTCGCATTTCATGTTTGCATACATCTTAAGTTTTTGTATGTCATTTAATGCCATTTCGGTTAAGGTTAGAGGTTAGTCAAATGGCATGCCATGAAATGACACGTCAAATGACTGAAATGTGATATGGGGGCAACCAGCTAACCCCAACCCCATCATATAAAGCCACACTTGACCGTTAGCAATTTGGTCGTAAAAGTAGCTAGCAGAGTGATGATGGCGTCAGAGGTTTGTGTTTCAGATTTAAGTTGGTAAAAAAAAAAACTTATGTTTGTAGTCCTAATAATGCTGGTGAAGATTCTCTAGAAACTGTTTCTCTCAAGTCAGCACACTTAGCAGTCAAATCAGATCCCAGAGAGATCTAATTACATCCCTCTTGAAAAAACACCCCACCCCCCAAATGTCTTTCACTCCCCTTTTAGCTCTAGTTTGGCCTGCTTGATGTTCGGCCCTTCTCATCAGTCCCTCGTCATCTTTGGCACTTGTCCATTTTATGCTGGCCATGTAGTATGCATCAAGCTTGTGTAAGCTTGTGACCTTGATACAGCTGCATAAAGTTTTGTGCCAGTCTTTGTGAGAGCCACTGGGACTATATGGACCAGCGAACCAAAACAATGAGCGGCTCAAAGAAGGTGAAAGCTGCAAAGAGCTTCAGGGTGGAGTGTTGATTCTCAGTGGGATCTGTAGCACTACCAACACTTTTGACACTACAAGTAGTTATTTTGATTCAGTGTTATTAGCAAAAATATCTCCTAATGAAGCTTTAAAGACACAATTGATTCATGTAGACATGTAGACTTTGAAGACAACAGTAAGGACTTTCACCTGCAATGGTCTTAACAGAGATGTCTAAAAAAAAAAAAAAAAGAGCAGATGCATAATGGAAAATCTCTTACAGAATTATATATTCATATTTAATGTCTATCAGAGCATATCACTCTTTATGAGAGTCAATGTTTTGGTAACAGTTTATTAGGCCGAGGGTAGTGTTGCTTGTTTTGCAAAACAATAGAAAACAACCAGTCAGAGGATACCAGGATACATGCAGTGGAACTGAAGCAGATCTGTTTCACATATTATCCATGGTGGCCTGAACGGCTCTATGTGTACAACTAGAGCAGGGCAGAGCAACTGCAGTGCGGCAGGAGAAACGACAAGACTGACAGATGCTGGCTTGTGTCATGTAGGGGAACTTTTCCCTAAAAGCAGGGATGTAGTGCAGTGTAAACCCACATTAATGAACTCAACAAACCCTCGACATCTGAAAGGCCACATATGCAAAGTCCAGTGGTCTCCAGTATGCTTTCCGTCGTATACTCTGGAATTTAGTCATGTTGTCTTCCAGTGCATCATGGTATTGTCAGACGGAAGTGTGGAGCAAAGCACCACCCACAAGTGGGAATAAAAGCAAACACTTCTTTGAGCTTAACACAGCAGAAGCATTAACTGGTGCAGATTCCAAGGGATGCACAAGACATTGGTGGTCTGGAGGAACATCTGATAGTATTTAAGCATGCTGTGGAAGTTTTGAATGTAGTTTGTGTTTAAACATCCCCACAGCTTAAACCAAATTGGCAAATACTGAGGAAGAAACAACAGCTTGATGCAGGTTTAACTTTAAAGCCGACTCTATATCCCTAAATGTTTTACGAAATGATAACCTTGATATATGAGGAGGATGTAATTCACAATATATTTAGTCTTTTGGACAATCTTGTTGCAAAACAATACATTTGTTCTGTTCATCAAGTCCTTAAATGAATGACACGCTGCCTCATTCCATCTTTCCAGACACCAAAGGGCATGTTGGAAATTTGGGTTGTGTAATATGTAACATCGTTTTACAATATGGAATGCTTGGTATTTATTTATTAATTATATTACGTCAAACTAATTTAGTCAGAAAATGATTACACCTGCATGTTAGCCCACTGCCTTACAGTCCTGCCTCTTATGAAACTCAACAGGCTGAGATACCTGCATTTGACAAACGAATCTCAGTGTTTTCACTTTGCAGTTGCCTTTGCTCACACAAATCCATTATTATTTACATTCTATTTGATTAACATTTAGTTTCCCTCAATGCACTCTAATTTACAGTTGAATTAATTGTCATTTTAGGTCAACACTTTATAGCTGAGCTTTCATTTAGCTTGCATATCAGCGGAACATTATAGATAGAGCATCTTGTGATGTGTTATGATAACAGCACATGACCTTTTCAGGGGGGGTGGTGCTGGAACTTATTATAGCATTTGGTAAAAGTCAGGGAAAATGCCTCAACAGGTCACCAGTCCATCACAAGAAGTACAAACATTTCCACTCACACACACAAATTTGACTCCTGCTGTGTTTTCCTTTTTACTGAATTGAAAAATTAAACGTGCCAGAAATCCATCATGGTAGCTCTGTAATCGGTGAACTTCAAAACAATATTTCATTTATCCACTGTGAGATAGTTTGGTTGTCTAATATTTCTATAACTGACCAACATTAGCACAGCAAGTTCATTGCAGTGAATGTCAATTTGTAGAGTGGTAGATGGAAGATAATGGTGCGTTTCTGCTCTGCTGACCTTTTGATAGGAATATTTCGACAATCAGTGTTGTATTTTGCAAACTGCACCACACTTAGTGGGGTCATTGTACTTTAACAGTCACCTTTTACTAGATGGACACAACATCCAACACACTGAACAATAATTCATGATCTGATACCAATATGAACTGGTTCACTAACTCTTACAGGTGGGACCCAGAATTAATATCACAACCTCTGTATGTGTTGTTACTCTAAAATCATGTCTTTTTATGCACATGTACTAAAAGTCTGTGACCACTTTCCCATTAAGTGATGCCAGACCTGTGGACCCCACTGTACAATATCAGGTTTCCAACAACGAATGCAACACAAAGAAATTACTCAAATACATCATTTTTGCCAGTTGTACTGATGTGGGTTTTGAAACAATTAATCAATTAGTCAACCAAAAAAAAATTTGCAACAATTTTTGGTAATTGATTAATCAAGTATGTGGTTGCAGCCACTCCAAAATATCAATTTGCTGATTTTCTCTGTCATTGTTAACTAAATGTCTTTGAGTTTTGCACTGTTGGTCAGACAAAACAAGAAATCTGAAAGACATCACCTTGAACTATGGAATATTATATGTTAATATTTTCTGATAATCAATAATGAAAAAAATCAGTTACCACCATAAGAGAATATCTTCAAAACTAAAAAAGATCTAGTGCTGATAAAGCCAGTAGAATAACACTGTCCCAAAATAAAACACTGCAGCTGTACTATTGCTGTTGCGTCTGATGTTTCTGAAACCCACTAATATCCAAATTTGGTTGCTAAGAAACACCTGTCAGAGCTTACATTCAACAAACAGTCAACAAAGTAAACAGGGCACCAAGCTGTAACAGCCTGTCTGATAATTACATTTTCAACAGGCTGAGCAGCATATTAATTTTACCAGTCTGTTTGTAAGTTTGTCTGTATATATTGCAATATTAATTTCAATCCATCTGTTTTCAAAGCCACTTGTCCTGTACTGCAGACAACCCAAGGTTCAGTAAACCTGCATTTCTTTGGACTGCATTAGAAAACTCACGCAGCAAACTCAAACACTGTGTGTCTTTACTAATACATCACAATACACTGTATACAATGAAGAGTCACTA